ATGATAACTAGATGCAACACTCTATATTTAGGCAATGTTATGAGGTCATTTGATAATGTTTTATCTATATAAATATATAGTTACATGTATATATCTATATATGTACATATATCATATACATATATATCTATACACACACACATTTATTGCTGCATATATATATAAAATGCTAAATAATATATATATACACACACACACACACCACTTTTCTCTTTCTATAAATATAAATATTACATAAAAATACTTGTTAAATACTATTTATTATTATTATTATTATTATTAAATACTTACAACTTATTTTGAAAATATAAAACTTATTCTGAAAAATTGGCTATATGATTAAAAGTGGGGAAAAAACTAAAGTAAAAGAAAGAGATAATATAAAACAATATTATATTTTATGTTTTATTTAAAAAAAATAAAATTAAATAAAATGTTGGGTACTTGTTGAATAATTCTATAGATCAATCAAATCAAATCAACGAATCATACAGATGGCCCTGACTCACAGATTTTGTTTACTGCTAAATTTCAATATTTAAAACATATCTGAAATGTAAATACAAACAAAATTATTTGAGTGGAAATGTCAACTGGAACAATTTCCCCCCATCCCTAACCCAGAACATACAATATCAGCCAAAAGTTCAGCCTCACTTTACTAAATTTAGACTTTCATGATCATTAAAAACCAAAAATCAGCTTAATTTGGCTGGACAGAATTCAGCATAGTGCAGGGTAAGTTATTCACATTCCTAGTCTGTGTATATAGTGAAGGAGTAGGTATGTCCGACCTTTTGACTGCAGTGTATAAGTTGTGATCTCTCCTGATCCAGCTCTCTTGAAGAAGCAGCGGTGGAAACCACCCTCCCTCCACAGCTAATTGTGACATCAATGAACCATGTGATGGCAGCGGGGAGCAGTTCTCACTCTGCCGTCAAATTTGCACAGGACAACTTTTAAAAACCCACTCCTGTGCTCCACAGCGACATGCCGTTCCACTCTCTCAAGTCTGCTAATAAAACTTGGACAGCACATCAGAGCTGGGTGAGATGTCACAGCGCAGTGGAGATTTATGGAAGGGGAAGAGATGTGATGGAGAGAACATTTCACTACACCGCCGCTTCAAAAGACGCTCACCAGGCGTCGGTCCTATTTTTACAATGTCATCATCACAGAGGCTGACAGACACACAGACGGAGACCAGAGAGGAAAAAGAACAAAACGGAGGAAGAAAAGAACAAAGAGTTCATTTTCTCCCTAAAATACATCAGAAATATCTTGAAGAGTGATGCATCCCAAAACAAAAACAGATACGGGATGTCTCCTCTCGCCTCTCTCTTTGTTATTAAAAACTTCCCTGCTCATTTTCTCTCATCTTTCCTTTTTGGCGGTTTCATTCTAGTTCATTTCCTTCACTTCAAATCTCTGTATCGCAGTAATGGCTGTTCATTATGCAGCATTTTGTTAGACATCAAATAGTCCCATCTGCTCGTCGTCTAGAAAATATAATTTAAACATGATGACGGGCTCCATTTATCACACACCGAGTACATCCAAACCTGCTCTAGTGGAATAAAACAAGCGAGAAGCCACGTGATTGGCTGAAGTTTCTTAGGATAAAATTTGCACAAATTTTCATTTTCAGTACTATATTACTCTTCATCCTAACCAGCATTGACAGGATGAGTTTTAAAGGCCTTTTTCCAAGTCAGTCTGTCCAACTGCAAAATGCTAGACAAAGTGACAAAACATAGCCGAGCAGATAACTGATATTTAATAAATAATATGAAAGATATTTGATATTTAATATATAGAGAGAGACTAGAAAATGACCGATACCAACTATTTTAACATTCCCTGTAGAACTAGAATTTATAATAAATTAATATACTGTTTATAATGCTACAGTGTCAAGCATTTCTGTAATATCTCATCATGAAATACAAGTAATAATTTTTTTTTAATTTAAGTGATATGAGTACATTTTTTTTAAACTAAAACAGTACATGAAATATGAACTATTCTTTAGAGATCCCCAAAATGCATTTTTCTTGGGGAAGCTCTATATTAAAAATGAAATAAAAATGTAAATATATATATAAACACAACTTCCTGTAGAATTTATAATTATGTATATACTGTATGTTTCATATAATAATAATAATAATAATAATAATAAACGCTTATAATGCTACAGTGTCAAGCATATCATGAAACACAACATATCATGAAATACAAGTCATTATGGAAAAAAAATTATAATTCAAGTAATTTTTGAATAAGTCAAATGAGTAAAAAAGTTTTTGTTTTTTAACTAAAGCAGTCCATTAAATATTAACTATTCTTTAGAGACCACCAAAACATATTTTTTGGGAAGCCTTATATTAAAAATTAAGTGAAAATGTAAATATTCATTCAAACTTCTAATCAAAGCTGGTTAGGACAAAAATCAGTATGGATGCGATATATTTTGTTAAATGCATTTGTTGCATCATTTGACACTATCACATTGCAGCTGATTATGACATGGTGCAAGGCCACACTTTTGACACCATTTATTAATTTTTTTGACAAGACTTGACAAGTATGACCAGGAATTTCCCTCCTCTGAGCCATTATCAGCCCTGCATCTTTATGCACATCTGTCTCTTCAAAAACCGAAAGAAAAATACTCCATTTATATACCACTATGTCACACTCATCCCCTGTCAGTCAAACCCTACGACCCTGATCCCCAACCATAATCCAGAGGCGGCAAAGGTAGACAGCACTCGCCCTTCCCCTGGGACACGTCAAACACCTTTGGGCTTGTTATGGCCATCCATTTCCCACAGAACAGAAATTGCAATCTTAATGATTATAAATGACAAATAATGCCAAAAGACTGCTTGTAATGCTATGAATTAAGAGCGTAAAAAAGTGTCCACGAGGGACAGGCGAACTGAGGGTCCTTAACCTTTCCAATGTTGGCTCCTAACTTTGACCCTGAAGTAAAGCTGCCCAAAAAGACCTGATTTAGGACCACCGCGTGCAACCTTTATCGCTGACCTCAACCATTAGTATGTCAGGAGAGCAACCGGTCTCTGACTGGCTCTTAACCAAATTCCCCCCCGCTGTGATTGACAGTGAGCAGGAGGGGGACGCGGCTGCCCTCCTGATCTCAGGGCTGTGGGTGAGAGCTGAGCCCCACAGCTATCTGCACTACTGACACCCATTTCCTGTGGAATGCTGCAGCTATGCAACACGCTGATAGCCTGTCATTCAGCGAAACAGCCAGGGAGGGGTATTTTCCAGCGGCACGAGCATGTGCCCGTGAGAATGAATGGAGCTAAAGTGAGGATGTGTGTGTTGGTCCTCCTGCTCTGTTTGTTTTTCTGTGGCCGCTGGGTTTGATACACATGCGTGTGGCCAGTTTGTATTGGAAATGAGAATGCGAAATACATGTGCATTTTAATTGGCGTATTAAACTCATCTGAATGAATGGCAGCTACACTGCATTAAACTTTCGAAAGTACTATTTCGGTCTTTCAACTTAAATCAAAGTTTAATTTAAGTTTAATTCTTTGCACATTGAATGTGAAATTGGCGTAAAAACTATTTTCACTCATAAATTGCTAGTAAATTTCACAGACAATTACAAAGAAATGACAAGTAACAAACCAAGTTGAGTAGAATGAATTAAATGTGACCCTGGACTACAAAACCAGTCACAAGTCATATGGGTATATTTGTAGCAATAGCCAACAATACATTGTATGGGTCAAAATTATCGATTTTTCTTTTATGCCAAAAATCATTAGGATATTAAATAAAGATCATGTTCCATGAAGATATTTTGTAACTTTCCTACCGCATATATATCAAAACTTAATTTTTGATTAGTAATATGCATTGCTAAGGACTTCATTTAGACAAATTTTAAGGCGATTTTCTCAATATTTTAATTTCCAGATATTCAAATAGTTGTATCTATATGGCCAAATATTGTCCAATCCTAACAAACCATACATCAATGGAAAGCTTATTTATTCGTTGATATACAAATCTCAATTTCAAAAAATTGATCCTTATGACTGGTTTTGTGGTCCAGGGTCACAAATAATATTTTCTTTCAAAGCGCACTCCAATATTCTCAGTTTTATTTACTCTATGCAAAATCATTTTACAGTGTAATTATTTGTGAAATTTACTAACAATTTCTAAATGAAAACTCTCTCTACACCAGTGCAGTCTGTGTGTGTATAAACTAGTGTGCATGCATTCACAGGTGGTTTGTGGGAACCTGGAGGAGGAGTCAAATAATCCTAAAATTGCCCTTCTTGACGGGTCTGCGGCCAGACATCTGTAGCCTGTTTGCATCTCCAAACTCTGGGATCTCGTTCCCAACATGTCTCCTCCAGAACTTGTTCTTTAGCCTTTCCTTGAACTGCTGAACAGAACTACGACAGCAAGTTCAGCTGGTTACCGATACTATGAACACACCATCAGGATATCCTGTGTGATCTTATATTTCTGCGCAATCGTGCCCCTCTTAAGAGAATATTGCGGGTTATTGTCAACTTTAACGTCTATGGACAGCATCTGTGGCATGCTTTCAATTATGACGCACGATAATTTTGACTCGTCTCTTAAGTCTGTAAAAACAAACGCAAAGTGTTTTTACAGTAAAACACAATGAGAGCCTGGAGGGAAAGAGAGTCAGGGAGTTCAAAACCAGAAAAGCGAGGCTCCTACTTGGGTTAAAACACAATTCGTCAGTGAAACAAAAATGTTTGTTACTTGAGCTATAAAGTCTAAATTGTTCCTTTGAGGTGGGACAATTTTTTTTTTAGGCTGACGAATGTCTGGTTAAGTTTCACCAACGTAATTCCTGTGGGTGAGGCTGCAGAACTCAACTAGGAAACTAGGAGGACTGAGGTCTGTGTTAATTTTAGTCTATGGTTTTGCCTCGTGCCTTGGCCTGGGATGTCGATGTCCAGCCTGTTGGATATTCTCACCTGCTGTTTGAGCTGATGTACCAGTCGGTCTTTCTCCCTCTTCAGCAGAGCCACCTCATCTTGAGTCTTCTTCTTCTTTGAGGATGACAGCTCTAGAAGAGCGATGTTGGCATCCTTCTCGCTGATGGCTGCCAATAGTGCCTCCTGCCTGTTTGGAGGAGAAAACACACACAGTTAGTATTTAGACCGCTTTGGACAATGCTTCCTACAGATACATCCTATTCACAAATACACCTTTAATTCTTCATGACAATCCCTAGATCTATGGTACTCAAACAGATGAAACTTGACATCATAATAGGGCCTTTCGCACCGCGGGAACCTTTTCATAGTACCAGAACTAATTGTGGAACTACCCACTTTTTGGTGTTTTCGCACCGCCGGAACTGGGTGCGATTTTAGTACCGGACTGCCTTTTTCGAGAACCAAATTAGCTCCTACTCCAGAGCAGGGTCTAACCAGCACAGCTGGTACTTATCGTGACAAAAGTAGACATTGATTGGCCAAACGCTTACGAAAACGCCCTCACCCGCCATGATTTAAAACGCTGTGTAAACATACTGTAAACATTGTGTCAACTTATTTCGCAAGTCTGGAGGACAGCGATAGATGGACGGACGCTGAAGTGCCTGCACTTGTAGCAAATGTAGCACTGCCAGTTGTCGTTGGAGATTCTTAGTCCTCCTTTCCGTTCTTTCAATCGCTTTACGTATACGTCGACTTTCCATGTCCATTATTGTGAAACCCGCGAGACACAACAAAAACACAGCTCCGAACACAGCATCCTCCATCCTCAAATACACAAATGATGTCGCTGTCGACCGGCTTACGTCACTTCTTAGTACACACTGTCGGTGCGAATGCAACCCTTTAAATAGTACTGGGAAATAGTTCGCACAAAATCGTCCCAGTACTTTAGTACTGTACATTTAGTTCTGGAACTAAAGCGGTGCGAAAGGCCCTAATGCTAGGCTGTTTACCAGGTGACCAGGTTTTTTAGCATGCAAATGGTGTGGGAAGTTTAGAGATTTAGTCAAATGTTTTAATGTGTTTGAAAGAAGTCTTTTTGCTCACCAAGGCTGCATTTATTTAATCAAAAAAATAGTAAAAAAAAAAAAATTTTTAAAATGTAATTTATTCCTGTGATGGCAAAGCTGAATTTTCAGCATCATTACTCCAGTCTTCAGCGTCACACTGTCCTTCAGAAATCATTATAATATGCTTATCTGATGCTCAAGAAGTATTTTTTGTCAATGTTAAAAACGGTTGTGCTCCTTGATAGATTTGTGGAAACCATAATACATTTTTTTTTTCAGGATTCTTTAATCAGGATTCTTTTTCAGAAGAGTAGCATTTATTCGAAATAACATTTTTGTGACATTCTAAATGTCAAATGTCTAAATGTTCTTTCAGAATAAAAACTTCTGACCCCCACTGACCCTAAACTTTTGAATTGTAATATATAAATGATGTGATAGTGATAGCAAGCACCACAAATAATTAATTCTGGCCATCAATCAAGTGCAGCTGGTTCAGGAAGTGAGTCCTGTTAGGTCAAATCTGTGGTAACGGAGTGAGAGGGAGGATGAATAACTTATACCAGTAGCTGAGATGGTGAAAGCCTCCTGTGTATTGACAAATCGAGGCAGCGGACTGGAGAATGTCTTAGGGTTAGCGTTAGCCACGTGTGCTAGTGTGTGTGTGTGTGGGGGG